AGGAATGAACATTCATGAACAATACAAGCTTGTCGAAGTAAATCATACTAAGAAATATCCCAAGTATGATCCATTTGTCTTATCTTACCCAGTGTCTCAAGTGTATTATGCATCTTACCCTAGCCTTAAACGTGATCGGGTTCAATGGTGGGCTGTATTTAGAACTTAAGAAAGGTCGGTGATTGATGCGCCGGTGGATTTAGAGTTTTTGCAGGGTCCTTCTCCACAAGTACATGCAACGCTTTGTCCACCAACTGACATTCCAGACTATGAACTTGATAGTGATGATGATGATTTTTTTTTTGGTTCTTAGAGAGCCACAAGGGCGGGGGTGAGAATTGATCCCATGATCTCCTGGAACCGGGAGGGAATCTCTAACCACTTGAGCTATTCCTCACTCTCTAGTGATGATGATGATGACGATGGCTTTGTTATCTCAAGCGATGAAGAAGAAGAAGAAAGCATTGACTCCAGTGATAGTGACGAAGAAGAGGACATTGATGTATATTTAGATGACACTAGTGATAGTAATAATGATAGTGATAATGATAGTGGTAGTAGTGATAAGAGTAATGAAGAGGAGAATATGTAGTTACTCCTTTAACTATTGTCTTCGAATGTTTAGTTTTTAATGACTACTCGGACTTGTAATATTGCATTACATTTTTGGTCTCATTTTATTTTTTAATGTCATATGGATCTAATTTATGAAATTACAATGTGCGATCATGGTACTAACAACTTTTTCAAGTGGTCATCATGGGAGGAGGAAATAAAGGATAAACGTACAAGAGGAGAAAGACTAAGGGGAAATCCCAGGTTGTACGTGATGACGAGGATGAGTCAATGGAGGAAGAGGAGGCACATGATTTGGGGGCCTCTCAAGAAATCATCAATCCGAGACAGGGGCAACAGGAGCAACAGGAACAGGAGATACAGGACCCGCAACCTAATGACTTGCTGGAGTTGGACCCTTCCACACTTTGGTGCGTATGTATTTGTAATGAAATATCCTTAAATTCGTATTTATTTTGATAAAGTGAATTTGTATTACTTTTACCATGTTTTGTTCACTTTTGTGTTGACTATCTACTTACATGAATGTTTATCCTTTATTATAGGTTTGATGATAAGCCGGTGAAGAATGTGCTCTCCGACACGCTAACCGGCTACTATGTTGAGCCTTGGAAGAATTATGGAGAGGTTGATGAAGATTCGAGATAGCACTTTTGGAACTTGTTCAGCGTATGATAACTTTAACCTAACATAATACATGTTTTTATAAAGTATATTGATGGAGTTGAATTTTGTAATAAAGACATTTTCTTGATTTGCAGAAAAAATTCAAGTGGGCACCTAAGTTAAACGACTATGTGAAGGAAACTTTCGAATTCAAGTTTGCAAATTGCCTATGTGACACGTTCTACCACATCACACACAGGCTGAATGGTGGCAGACCAAAATGGCTTAATAAGGATGTCCACGAACGCATGATGCGAATTGTTGCCATTGATCCAGATTATAAGAAGCGGTCTGAACAAAACAAGAAGAACCGAAGAGGCGGATCCATGGAAAATGTCGTTGAACCGACCCACTTTCAAGGTTCAATGTCATCTGTACAACATGCTAAAAGGATGGTAAGGATCCTAAAATATGTCCAGTAACAATTAAGTCATTTGTGTATTAATGAATTTTAGTGGGCTAACATGTTTTCATTGATTTTCTGCATGTATATATAAAGGCTGCACAAAACCAAGGGCAATTACCAAATGCCCATGATCTTTTCTTGAAGACACACTTCAAGAAGTGCCTGGAAAAGGCCAAGTGGCTGCCAACACCAAAGCAAAAAGGATTGCGGTAAAAACTTATTATATGACTTGATATATGGCAAATTAGCAAAGTAGAACTCATTATATGCTTATTTGGATGATTTTGGATGAGTAAGGGTCGATAATTTACATATGTGCTTATTTTTCTTAATTTCTATCCTTAGGAACCTAAAAGTATGTGATATTGGAATGTTAGAAGAAAGAACGAGTCCATTTGATTTAAAACATAGAAAATAGGCATGGTTTTAGCCATATAGGCCAAATTTGGATGATTTTGGATGAGTAAGGGTCGATAATTGACATATGCGCTTATTTCTCTTAATTTCTATCCTTAGGCACCTAAAAGAAATTGATATTGGAATGTTAGAAGAAAGAACGAGTCCATTGGTTTGAAAACATAGAAAATAGGCATGGTTTTAGCCATATAGGCCAAATTTGGATGATTTTGGATGAGTAAGGGTCGAAAATTGACATATGTGCTTATTTTTCTTAATTTCTATCCTTAGGCACCTAAAGTAATTGATATTGGAATGTTATAAGAAAGAACGAGTCCATTTGATTGAAAACATAGAAAATAGGCACGGTTTTAGCCATATAGGCCAAAAATGCTTGCGTTTGGATGAATAAGGGTCGTAAAGTGACTTTTGTGCTTATTTTTCTTAATTTCTATCCACATGCACCTAAAATTTAAGCCATATAGGCCAAATATGCAACTGAATAATCAAGAATAAGAAACCTTACCTTATATTGTTAGTTGTTTTTTCAACAATTTTTTTTTTTATTATCTTCAATATTTTGTAGGAGACCTACCAGAAGAAGCTCGAAGAAACAAGGAGTCAGGGATTCAGAAGAGTCCCAATGAGTTGTACTGGGAGACGGTGGGTGGGCGCAATAAGAAGGGTCGTGTGAAGGGACTTGGCCAAAGTGCAGAGCTCTACTATGGCAACCGGATGGGTCGAGCTTCCCGTTCTTCACAGCAATACACGTCGTCTGTCATTTCTCAGATGCAAGACCAGATGGAACACAGGGTGCAAGCTCTCCAAACTCAAATGGAAGCCGAGATGCAAAGGCGAATTGACTCCCGAATGGCTAAAATAGAGAGGAGATACCAGGAGAGTATGGATGAGATGATGAGTCGTTTCACCAACAACGACTCATGTTCCACCATTCATCCTCAGCATCGAGACCCAAGGGATGACCCGGGTAGTGGTGGAGCAGGTCAGGGTACCCAGGCGATTGCGTAGCTTAGCTTTAGTCTAGCAAATATCCACTCTAACATAGCTTTTGTTTGGTATAGATACCAAAATATGGACTATCTTTTGTACTAAAACATAATTAATATATTTATATGTAAATAATATAATTCGTAGGTCGGTAATTAATTTTTTTAAAACAACAATTTCAGGTTTTGAAATGCTTTTTTTTGTCTATTTATTATAAACAAAATTCAGGTTTGGAAATCCATATTTTTACAGAAATTTATGGCGGGCTGGAACTAAAAATTCCGACGGAAAATATAATTTACGACGGAATTTACTGTCGGAAAATATATTTTACGACGGAATTTTCTGTCGGAAAATATAATTTACGACGGAATTTTCTGTCGGAAAATATAATTTCCGACGGAATTTTCTGTCGGAAATATATAATTTCCGACGGAATTTTCTGTCGGAAAATATAATTTTCGACGGAAAATTTCCCGACAAACTATATTTCCGACGGAATTTTCCGTCGCAAACTATAATTTCGACGGAATTTTCTGTCGGAAATTATAGTTTGCGACGGATCTTTTTCCGTCGGAAAATTGCGACGGATCATCAGTTAGGGCCAATTTCAAGTCCGACGAAGTTATTTCCGTCGTAAATTCCGTCGGAAGGAAGGTTTACGACGGAAATTCCGTCGGAATATGACCAATTTCCTACAAAGGGTTTATCGACGGACCGGTTCCGACGGAATTCCGTCGGAACCCTTCTTTCCGACGGAAATGGCATAAGTTCTGACGAACTTTTTCCGTCGCAATTTTGCTGTTTTCTTGTAGTGATGAATACAATTCATGCAAAGTTATATGATTTTTAAGGTAAGGTTTTTAATGAGCAGCATCCCAAAGCGTATTACGAAGAATGTTGTACTCTTTTTCCTTCATTAGGTTTTTATCCCACAGGTTTTTCCTAATAAGGTTTTTAACAAGGCACATTCTTAGATAATGGACATCCAAGAGGAGTGCTATGATATATATATATATATATATATATATATATATATTATATATATATATATATATATGGATGCCCATTATACCCTTGTATCATTCTAGAAATTTCTAGATTTTAGGGTTTATTATTCTCCAAGCAAACCCTATCAATTGTATTGTATCCATATATATCTATACCTCCATTATATGAAAGATAAGTAGAACACACAGATTAATTCTCTCTCTATCTCTTATATTTCCACCTTATTTTATAACATAATATTGTATTTTTTGCTCCGTCAATTTATACTCTACCATATATCAACCTTCTAAATTATAGCTTAATCTCCCTTAATTAAAAGGTCTCAAAATCTTGTAATTGTTTTAAGTAAATAAATCATGAAAAAACAAATCATACAAAGATAATATAAAAAAAAAATTAGAAAGTTTTTTTTTTAAAGTTTTTTTTTTTTAAGAAAACCCAAAGGACACCAATTTTAATCGATTAAAGTCATACGGTACCTACAATTGATGATTAACGACAAGGAAAATAGATTTAATAAAATCAAACAAGAATTAATTAAAGAATGACTAAGAATCCAATTACATACATATAACAATTCGGCACATTCTCAAATCGTTGTCTCACACAACTTTTAAGTTACCAAGAGGGGACTCTAATAGATGAGATTCAACCATAACACTAATTGCCTATACTCTATCCTTAGTTTCTTACTAAACAAAATTGAAGAGAGACTGATTGGCTAGGCTTAAGAATTCTGTATCAGATATTTGGATACTAGTAAAGGTAATCAAATTATGAATTCTTATTTACAAATTACAACTAGCATTAGCCATTTAAGAGTTGTTTAGCTGAGCAAACAATGATTTTCAGATCCGATTACATTGTCGGTTTGTCACTCAGTCACACTAATTCTTCAGCAATGCATCAAGGCTAGCAGCAAACACGAATACCAAGATTGATCAAATTAATCACCGACCAAACTAATGGCTTATGATTAGAACGGAACTCAGGGGATAACAAGATCTAAGTCTGGAAATGTCTAATCGCAAATACACTGTCCACTACATGAACAAGAATTCAGAATTAGCACACGCTAGTTTCAACAGCATATTCTATTACATTAAACCTCCACGGAAACAAGTCTAACTACATTCCAAAGACACGATAGAGAGAATAGGGAAAGATAAGCCCTGTAGAGAAATTCTAATCCATCCTGCCCTTCAAGATGTGCTCCTTGATCTCTGTTGGAGTGCTGCACAAGCAAAGGCAAAAGACAACACAAAAAGCATTATTAGGTTTGCCAAATAAAACTGAAAAAGGAATTAAAAAAAAAAAAAAAAAAAAAAGAGGGTGGGGAGCTAACAAATACAAAGAAGCATTTAAATTTGAACTTCCTCTTTGGGATGAATAATAGCAAGAGTTTGCTTTCTCACCAAAGAAGAGGCTATAACCCAAGATGAGACCACAATCACATTACTACATAGGACCACAACATACACTCTTAAGCTAAAGCTGACTCTAGACATAGAACCAAAGATAGGTATGGGCGATTGGGCGTATGGTCAAGACCTTAATTACCAATGTAGCCTTTCTTTAAATTGGTGTTATTACAAGGGTAAATAGAGCAAATTGGGTATCACAAGGATAATAAAGGAAATTTGTCTTAATTACTACAAAATCTACAATCTACATGTATGCTTTAAGATTTAGCTAACCGATACAAGAAAAACTAAATAGAAATATGGTCTATTATTTAGGAAAGAGGTAGTATTGTATCTTCACTTACTATCATACCTACTTATTTCTATGATATGTGAGTATAGCCAAAAATGAAACAATGTCCTACTAGCTGATAGAGAAAAACTATTACGGACTTGACCCCAGTTAGCACTTATCATAGACATGAATCTTGATAGAAAACTAAAACAGCCCAACACTAATGTGCCCTAGCCCAGATATCGGTTAAAGATCCTCTCTTGTTATGTTTCGGTCTAGGTTTAGAAAGAAGGAGCCCCCACTTGTACATAGCATATTGTCTTTGTTTACTCTATCCGCTCCTTAATCATAGTCCCTGCAGTCTTTTTTCAAGACACTACTGCAACCTTCCCCCCCCCCCCCTCCCCCCTCCTTTCAAATCTTTTTTGTTATTCAAACACTTGCCTACACGACAAAAAATCAGGACCACTCTCCTACTGCTTCAACCACTCTCCCACTGTTGTTATATTACTTCATCAGGACCTGCAGCAGCTGATTACAAGTAATGATAAAAAATCTCCAGACCCACAAACAGAATAAAATTGCTAATTTCTTTGTGGCACAGAAGGCCCCTAGCAGATAGGGCAAGGCTAGAAATCCAACACGGGCAAGAGGGTAAAAAATTACAACCATGAAACTACCTTTCAAATGGAGACAAAAAAAAAAAAAAAAAAAAAAAGGAATTTTGTTGACAGTCATTTTGGGAAAAAGTTGTTATTGGGCTATGTTACATCAACATTTAAATTTACATCATCATTTAAATTTACGTTATTACCTATGTCAAACATTCGACACTCCAACAATTGAGCCCGACAATTCAATTTATACCAAGACATCAATTATCTTGAACCACATACTTGTAAAATATAAATGGAAAGGAGAAAAGAAAGTAAGCAATATAAGCTTACAAATAAACTAGAATCAATAAAATAACAAGATTATGAACCTCAAAATGTGTATATATGTACTTAAACAATAAAAGCTCATACAAAAATTCTTTAAAATCGAGATTGTTTAAAAAAATATATATTAAATCATTGTCCCCATATCCAAGGTGAAGGGACAGTTTTTTTCTTAAAAAAAATTTTAAAAAAAAGAAGTGGAGGGACAGTACTCCTGCTAACCAATGCCAAGATCCCCTGACACAAGCTAAAACCCACAACCTACCACAACTAAATGAAGTCTACAGGGATCTAGTGCTCTATATAATTGGAAAGCACTGGTAGAAACCATCCAAGCAGCACATAAGATGAGTATTATGCAGTATTAACAAAAAAATGTCCAATAAAGAAAACAGGGTACAAGGGATTCCACTTACACAATATAGACATGCCCTCCCCAACCACTCAAACAGTCCCGGTCAACTGATGCCTGTAAAGCTTGGGAGACTGTCTCGAACAATTCTTCAGGTTCCTGAATCACAGGCACAAGATTAATGATGCTGACAAAAATTTGGCCAATGTGAGGCATTCAATGCTGTAAGCTAAAACTCCAAATCACTAGCATAGGCTGAATAGATTTTGAATTTTTCCTGAATCAGTTTGAGTTGCATTTTTATACATATACTTCCTCCATCCCTTATCGATAGTCCCTTACGGTGAAATTTCACGGGAATTAAGAAACTTAAATAAGTACTCCCTCCTTCCCCAAAACTTCGACCCTTTTGGCCTAATTTTAATCCCAAAATGATCGACCCATTTGCATTAAAGTACCCACTAATTTACAACAATATTTTGTGCAAAATTAGTTTCCCCATATAAAATTGTTTTTTCATGTATTTATAATACTTTATCTTTCTACTTTTTTACAAACACCATGTAAATTTACCTTTCCAATATGTTTTTATTTTTTTAATTTAAGTTTCTTAATAACCGCGAAATCAACCCAAAAGGGTCGAATTTTTGGGGACGGAGGGAGTAGTAAAATTATATTGGAAAGGTAAATATGCATGGGGTATGCAAAAAAGTAGAGAGAGAAAGTAATAAAAGTATATGGAAATGCAAAATTTACATTTTTTTTTTTTTTTGAGGGGGATGCAAAATTTACATAGGGAAGCTAAATTTGTACAAATATTGTTGTAAATTGGAGGAAATTTTTGGTAAAAAATTAATATTAATAGTAATTGGAAAAAGCAATTGGGACTATCATTTTGGGACTTAAATTAGGCTATAAAGGATTATCAATAAGGGACGGAGGCAGTATCTCCTAATGAAGGCAAAATGAGGGAGTATAAAACCTTATTAATGTTTGGAAAATTTAACAACAACAAACTAACCTTTGCTCCATTCTCCCAAAATAAACCAACCTTTAAATCTGCCCAAAATAACACAAGTTTGCATTTTTTCTCCCATAGTAAACCCAAATGACTTGTGACCTGAATAACCGGTCACTTTTTATTTTCCATTAATTATCTATTTAAAATAAATTAAATTAAATTAAAATAATTAAAAAATCCAACCCCCAATCCACTGCCAGCCACCCCCTCCTCCCTCCGTCTACCGGCCGGCACCCAACCACTCCCGCTGCCAGCAACCCCACCCTCCTACGCCACAATTTACCCTCCCTTCCATCTGATCCAACGCTCTCAAATCATCTCCTCCTCATCTCTCTCCTCCATTCTCCTCTCCTCTCTTCTTCCGTCCTCTTCCCAACACTTCAAATTCAAACCCATTTCATCTTCTGCAACAAGCCCACCTCAAATTCAACTTCAACCATGGCAGGGAGCTTTAATCAAATTCAAACCCAGAAACGCATGGCAACTCCTCGCAATCTTCCTCTCCACATTGTTGGAATCATCACTCAACCTCTTCCTTTAGGTGCAGTCGCTTTAATGGGGTACAGCCGGCACCGGCGACCGAGGAGGGGGTTCTGGGCGGGTCTGAGGGCAGGGGGTCAAGCTTTGAGTGGGTGGTGGTGGCCATTTGGAAGGGTGTTTGTTTTTTTTTTTTTTTTTTAAATTTCTTTTTTTTGTAAAAATTATAAAAAAAAACAAAAAAAAAAAAAGAAAAAGAAGCCTTGACCAATGATTTAATGACACGTGGATTTTTACCTGGTATAATAGGTAAGGTGACCTGTTCGGTTCAGAGAATAAAGGCAAACTTGTGTTTATTTTGGGCAGATTTAAAGGTTGGTTCATTTTGGAGAAAGGAGCAAAGGTTGGTTTATTGTTGTTAAATTTTCCTTAATGTTTTACGAAAACAACATCCTAAATGGATATACGTTAGCAGGAAACATAACACTAATCAGAAGAAAAATGCTTTTACCCATCAAGATCAAGTTAAAATTCAGATACATGAAAACTTAGATAAATGCAGGTAGTGAGACTTTTTAAAACACATGACAGTTAGATAAAAGATAAAGTTATTATTCCACAAGGAAACCAACATATGACCAGGTCTATATTCAACCATATAAGATAAAACAGACAGCTGCAAACAGATTTAGGATCAACATTTTTGAAAAGCCAAAGTCCAGTTCATGATAATTCTTTAGGTAAAAAAATTTGCAAATTCCAATCCTTTGTGGATTGCTGACCCATAGTCATGCGTGAAACCAAAATAAAGAACCACAGATTCGATAGCTCAACTTAGAATATTACAAACAAACAGAGATGGTAAAATAGCAAAAACCAAAAATTTCAGATGTCAATGTGTCACAATAAATACTCAAAGAAAATTTAAAATGCAAGGAAAATGACTTACCAAGTCAGGCTTGTACATAGATTCACAAGCACCATACAGAGACTCTGATGCAGTTCCAGCAACAACAAAATCTTTAGCTAGCTCCCTGTAAATCGGGAAAAAAAAAATTGAAACAAGACTACAATTTTGCGGTGATAGGTAATGCAGCAGCTATGAAATGTCAGAAATAACATTGCATTTACTACAACGATCCATCTTATAATTTTCTGATAAAAAAATCTCTTCATTATAGGTTAATAGTGTTAAAGGCTTATTTTCTAGAATAACAAAGAAAATCACAACTATCACTGTAAAGACCACAAATCAACCACCCTATCAAGTTTAAAGGTACTCTAGCAGCCAGTGAATACAATGCTTTTCTCAAATATGGTACAATGGATTGCAAGATTTAGATTTTTTCCAAGTCCCATTAGCATGAAAGAAGAGAAAAAGACATCAATTCCAACTTCATAGAGAACAAACGTGCTTTCTTCTATATCTCTGATAAATTTAATGGTCACATGTCAGTTACTCAGTTTAAGGTACGCAGTTTGATTAAGAAAAACAAATCCCAATTTCCAATATGAATCAAACAAGTACCATATAAAGCTCAAGATTCTCTCCAAAATCACTAATATGAATTTCAAACCAAAGAAGATTCTAGCCAATGTATAAAAAAAGCTCAAGGCGCACCAAGGCATCTCGGAGTTTTCTGCGCCTAAGGCACACCTTAGTTTAAGTGAGGCGCGTATTATAAACAATAAAATAAAAAAATAAAAAAACTTCAGAATAAAAAAGTTGATGTGCCCTATTAGCGCCTCATTAAAATTGCTTCACCTAGACCACAAAAGGCGCATGACCCCTAACGCCTTAGAGCCTAGGCGTGATTTTTAAAGTACTGGTTCTATTCATCTTCTTTAATCATGAGAATATGAAGAATACAACCATGATGCCTCAAGCAAATAAGACATCATCAAAAGGACTTTTCTAATTATTTTTTCCCCATTTTTTTAGAGATATCAGTTATTTCATAAGGATTTTCAACAGCCACATAGTCGCAAGGCCTTAATATCGATGTTTTATATAATCTTCAAAAATCTTAAATTACTGATACCGCAAACGAGTATTAATTCCAAAGAATACAAAGTGGTAACAGAGAAGAGAGCATACTT